GACTGAAAGGGCTCTAACTCGTTCATTTCAATCCTCCTTTCAATCAGCTCTTATCCAGTTGATCCTGTTTCTCTTTTTAAGCACGTTTATTTTCCAAATCCATATCACCTCCTGTTTAGCTCTGCAGGTCCAGGAAATTTGTTTATATCCTTTGGAAATGTTATGATATTCTAAATTTAGGGAATTCTAAGTATTATTACCAGAATAAATATGGGAACTATTAACTACAAGTAGCATGGGCAGATTCTTACTACATTGATTTGTCTCTCTAGTAACTTTCCCCCTCTGTTTCTTCTGCTTCCTCCCCCTTTATCTTAACAAGAGAGAAATCACTTGTGCAAAGGAAAAAATGCCAGAAATTAGTATATTGTGCTCAGTGTGGCTTCATCTTTTCGAGGTCAGTTCAATACCTCCTGTTTCTCTATTGTGGAATTAACTTATCTCGACGTTTCCCACATAGTTGTCCATCCATCACCAGGTTTCTCCATCATAAATTGTCTGTTTCCATCCCCCCCCCGGGTTCCCTCCCCCCCCCCCCAGCTGCCTACTGCAGCCATTTGAGTCCCTCCTTCCCTTTCTTGGGTCTTGCATGGAGCTGAAGCATTTTCTACTTTGAGAATCTCCATCTGGATTCCATCAACTTTTCAGTCAAAGTACTGAAAATAATAAATATTAAGAGATAGAAAAACTGCTAGCTAAATATAAAATGGATCATGATGTATTTTTCAAATTTAAGTCTACAACTTTATAATTATTTGTGTGATTTACAGAGTCAAAAAACAAATTAGCTAAAATCTTGACTGTTGAAGGAAGGAAAGAAGATGAGGGAAAGAAAGAAGCAAACAATTAACAGGGTCACCATGCACAAAAGTTTGAATGACTGCCCTTGTAAAAAACGTCCATAGAAAAACTCAAAACTGGACAATGTAGAGCAGGGGTGTTAAACTCAAGGCCCGCAGGCCAAAGCCAGCCCATGATATGGTTGAATCCAGACCATGTGACCATCCCAGAAACAGTAAGGGCACGCCCACGTCACTTTGGCCAGGACCACCCAATCCTGCCATGTGCGCATGCACACAGGAGGCAGCAGGAACACATATGCACAGGCCTGGCCCACACCATTCCGGCAGGCACGCGTGCACAGGAGGATGTCGATATCACCACCTCACCTGTGCTGAAGTCCCATAACTTACATACCTTGCTATACCAGACTAAAAATCTCCCCATAACAGCCCTAGCCTATGCAATTCATCAGGCTCTGTAACAGCACAGCTGGACTTCAAGGTCAAAGGGCACCTGGTTTTTCTCCTTTTCTTCACTGTAAAGGTGGGCTCATTCCAGGTGAACAGAGCCAGGCCAGGACACTAATTTCATATGCCACTGACAGATTATAACCTCAAATGTTTTCCAAATGTTCTGTGACATAGTAGCAGCCATTTTCATTTGCAGCAATGGAACAATGAGTGGGAAAACCTTCTGTGCTCATTTACAATTGCAACCTTATTATGAAAAGAAAGAAAACTTGTTAGTGACCATACAGAATCAACCATGGTGTGCTTTTCAAATTTCACCCTAGGAACATATGATGTGATCTACAGACTTTAGTGATCATAGATTGACTGGGCCAGATTAAAGCCAATTGCTGGAATCAGGAAATAAATTAGATTGCATAAATCTTGGCTCTTAAATCTATTGATAGATGAGGAAATGAAAGAAGCAGACATTTTACAAGGCCACTATATATGAAAGTTGATTTAATATTTATTTATTCAATTTATTTTTCCGCCTATTTGCCCATGGCGACTCAAGGTAACTTACAGAATATAAAATCACATTTAAACAATAAAATTAATAAAAAGAATCAAATAAATTAATATAGTATAATATAATAAAATCACCCGTCCCGGCAACAGCAGTTCAAACAGGCCATTTAATTGGCTCCATCATGCTCTGGGTTCCCCAAGCCCACTGGCAGAACCAGGTCTTTGGTGCCTTCCAGAAGAATATTACAGTCGGGGCGATTCTAATCTCTGGGGGAATGATGTTCCAGAGAGAGGAAGCCACCACGGAGAAGGTGCTTTTTCTGGGTCCCACCAAGTATATCTTCCTCGGGAATGGAACCCGTAGTTTGAATGATACCTTTATCAAAAATGTTCAAAAAAATTTATATATATATTCTGAGGTTTTCGCAGGTATTTGTATGTGGATCTTTGGTTATTCGGGTTTTCTCCTGCGTAAAATTGGAAGTATCTAGGCAACGTTTCGATGAAGTTTCATTCATCATCTTCAGGCTTGTGTCTTCGGCTTTGTGCTTCTCGAAGTAATGTGAGCTTGCAGCTGCTTTTTCCTTTTAACTGCTAGTGGGGGTGTGACTTGATTGGGTGGGGGCTTGGCTGTGTTGTGATTGGGTGGGGGTGTGTTCTCATTGGTTGGGGGTTTGGCTGTGTTCTGATTGGTAGACCCCATTTACAAACCCCTAAACACAGACCCCACCACCTACCTAGAAAAAACCACCAGATCCAAAATAAAGGCCTCCCCCATCAGCAAAGAAATCCAGCAAAGAATCATACCCAGAGAGAAATCATCCAGATGCCCTAAGCTTTATGGTCTCCCCAAGATACACAAAGAAGGAACCCCACTTAGACCAATAGTCAGCTCCATAGGCTCACCTCTACAAAACCTAGCCAAATTTCTCACCAAACAACTACAGCCCTATGCAGAATCCATCAACTCACACGTAAGAAACTCATTCCAGTTCATCGAGATCATAAAGAAACAAAACTTACAACCCAGCGACCTACTAGTGAGCTTCGATGTCATATCCCTCTTCACCCAAGTGCCTATAAAAGAAGCCTTGACAGCCATCCAAAACAAATACAACCCCCTCCCAAGCACATCCTAGATCTGACCAACCACTGCCTATCCAATACATACTTCACCTACAATGGACAAAAATACAAACAAATAGAAGGAGCACCCATGGGATCACCCCTCTCACCTGTCATTGCAAACCTCTACATGGAACACTTTGAAACACAAGCTCTAGAAAAATATGATCACAAACCCAAATTCTGGCTCAGATACGTAGATGACACCTTCATAATCTGGCCACATGGGAAAGAAAAGCTGAACAACTTCCTCACACACCCCAAAATACAATTCACCATGGAAACAGAAGCTAACAATCAACTTCCCTTCCTAGATGTCTTAGTATACAAAAAATCCAATGGTTCCCTAGGACACACCATCTACCAGAAGAAAACACATACAAACTGCTATCTACACGCACTCTCACACCACCACCCAGCACAGCCGAGACACTCATCTCCAGAACAAAATGCTTCGCCGACAAACAACACCTAAAAACCGAACTACACACTCTCGCTAACGTACTAACAGCCAATGGATTCCAAAGAAAGAAGATTACCCACCTAATCCAAAAAGAAACCCCAACCAAAATCCAAGACAGAGAACAAGAGAACGGCAAAGCCCTCCTCCCATGTATAAAAGGCATTACAGACAAAATCAGCAAGATCCTCCAAAAACACAACATTAAAACAGCATTCTGCACAAACAGAAAAATATCCACCATCCTAAGAAACCCTAAAGACAAAATCGAGTTAGAAAACCAAGGAATGTACGAAATCCCTTGCACAGCCTGTCCCACCACATACATCGGACAAACTAACAGAAGAATAAGTGCACGCATTGAAGAACACAAGAACTCAATCAAAGAAGAAGAACCGACCTCTTCCCTGGTCCAACACCTCAAAGCCACAGGACAGGAGATTGACTTTAAAAATACCAGAACTATCGCCAAAACTGAACACTTCAACAACAGAATAATCAGAGAAGCCATAGAGATAGAAAAACGCCCACACAGCATGAATAAATGAGATGATACTTCCTAGATACTTCCAATTTTACGCGGGAGAAAACCTGAATAACCAAAGATAGATAGATAGATAGATAGATAGATAGATAGATAGATAGATAGATAGATAGATAGATA